GTGTATGTATCCATGTGTGTATATTTGTGTGTATGTATGTGTATATGATGTATGTGTATATGTATGTGTGTGTATGTATGTGTGTGTATATGTATGTATGTGTATGTGTATATATGTATGTGTATATGTATGTGTGTATGTGTATATGTATGTGTGTATGTGTGTATGTATCTGTGAATGTATGTATGTATGTGTGTATGTATGTGTGTGTGTATGTATCTGTGTATGTATTTATCTGTGTGTGCATGTGTATGTGTGTGCATGTGTATGTGTGCGTGTCTAATGACCTCTAAGGACCCTATCCCAGAACTATTACTAGTATGTAGGGTGAAAGTGGAAGGTTAGTAGTTCTGAGTAAATGACTTACACAACAGCTCATTGGCAGTGATTAAAATGCAAATCTGGCCTTCGGTAGGTAGATGGGAATTTGATGTAGCCTTTTGGGAAGAGAGAGAATAAACAGCTGACTGATAATCAGGGCTCTTGGGTGGAACTTGCTCTGTTTCTAATGTTCTAAGGCTGTGGTTTGGAAAATGGAACTGGGTCTTAGCAGAGAGAGTCATCTTGGCTGCAGGTCCCCAATGGCATGGGGGGTGGTGGTCCTAGGCTTGGTCCTCAGTGACGTGGGAGGGTTTCCAGGCTTGGTCCCCAGTGGTGTTGGGTGGAGGACTCCCAAGGCCCCATTTTCAGCATCATGGGGAGGAGTTCTAGGCAGAGGGGTGTCTGTCCTTTATACTAGCTACTTGCTTAGCTGCATTTGAATCATAGAAACAGGCCAACAAACAGAGTGAGGTGTGGGCTCCCTGCAGGCAAGGTGTCCTCTCCGAGTCCTGAGGAGTGATGTTCTTCACAGGCAGATGTCTTGCAGCAGGTCCTCAGCATCTGTTCTTTATTGAGTGACGTGATATTGCAGCTGTGAGCTTTTAGCTAATTTTAGACTGTCTGGATGGCGGCTCACGTCTGTGATCCCAATACTTGGGAGGCTGAGGTGGGGGTTGCTGAGAGTGAGGCTCAGAGGGACATCTCGGACTTCCTTGCTACCATGGAGGACACTCAGCCTTGAGAGAACCACCTTTTCCTTTTTTTTTTTTCCGCTGGAGATAAGTTCTCGACTTTGTCAGGTATGCTTTTGTTATGTATATACACCATAGTCACATGGTATTGGTTACCTATAAACCTGCTTATTAGTCAGACGTTATTCTTTTTTATAATACCTGTCAGTTCCTATCGTATGATTCAGTAATGCCACACCGGTTTTGAGTCATGATCTCAGTAAAATATTCCATACCTGTATAGCCTCTCAACTGTTGGGATTATAAACAGGAACCATTACCCAAGACAGTCTAAAATTAGCTAAAGGCTCTCAGCTGCAGTGAGTTGCTCAATAAGGAACAGGTGCTGAGAACTGGCCATTGGATAACTGTCCATGAGGAGTGACAACCTCAGGACTCTCTGAGGACTCCATACCTTCAGGGAGCCCACACTCGGTTTTTTGGACAGCTTGTTTCTATACCGCTTGGCCTTGCACCAAACTACCCCAACTCCCTGTGTTGAACACTTTTTCTCATCATCTTCTCTCTCTTCCTTTGTGGCCATTCCCCAAACTGAGAGGAACATTTACATCAGCCTTACCTTGCATTCCCTGGAACTTAGGTCCCAACATAGGGAAGGAATTTCAGGGATGTGTCAGGTGTGCCTGCTACTGAGTTTGTAGGACAAGTTTTAAAAAATCTTTTTTGGGTGCTTCTGCTATTTAGACCCAATTTAGTTAGGACCTGATTAATAGAGGATTTTTCTTTTTCTTTTTCTTCTTCTTTTTTTCTTGTCAGAGCATGAAGAGGAACTGGACCAAGAATTTGAGCTGGAGATGGATACTCTATTTGGAGGACTGAAGAAGGTATGAGGTGGTCTTCTAATGTGTAAAAAGTGCCAGTGTTTCACTCACTCTGTGGAATGGAAGAGTGTGCAGAGACCCATCTGGAGCTGTGTGCTTTTCTGTTGAGAAGGTGAAGTGTGTTGCGTTGGACAAAGCACCAGACTCATGTTCTCTTCTCTTTTGGAAATGCCGTGCTTGGTTACCAGCCCCTTTTTTCACTGGAGAGATGCTAGGTTACCCCTTTTCTCCAACCAGAACCTCTGCAGGGGTAGCTGAACATCCTGATGTGTGTGTGTGTGTGTGTGTGTGTGTGTGTGAGAGAGAGAGAGAGAGAGAGAGAGAGGGAGGGAGGGAGAGAGAGAGAGAGAAATGGAGAGACAGAGAGAGACAGAGAGACACAAGAGAGGCATATACAGAGAGACAGAGAGAGACAGAGAGAGACACAGAGAGAGTGAGCATGAGAACAGACACACTCTGGGCTTGGTATGGGCTTTTTAGACATCAAAGCCCCAGCCTCAGTTACATACTTCCTTCAACAAGGCCACACCTCCTAGTCCTTCTAATCCTTTCTAAGAGTGCCGCTGCCTGGCCACTAAGTTTCCAAGTACATGAGCTTGTGGGGGCCATTCTTATCCAAGCTACCACAACCTCCTTCCCTTGTCTTCTTTCCCATCAGTAACCCAGGGCCCCATGTCAATGTTGACTTGGATGGTGGGGGGCTCAGGGCAGCTGATGGTGGTAAAACTGCTTCTGGGTGGTATATTCATTTTTCTGTTGTCAGTATTTAATGAATATTACCAGGCACAGATTTGCCTTTACTCTGAGGATGCAGCATTCCCATCCTGAGACCAGCTGCTCGCAGTGGCTGGTTTGGGGCATAAAACATCAGCTTCTGAATTCCGTACTTCCTGACAAGCGTTTGAAGACACTCATTTCCAAAGTGGCACTGTTGGCCCTGTACTGTGCCTGGGTAGCTTCAGGTTCTAGACTTGCATCAAGTTTACTTCAGTTCCCATCCTGATTCACTAGGCTGTACAGAGGCACAGTTAGATGCCAGGCCACTGTTTGTTAGGGACTAGGAGGTGTGTCTAGCCCTGTGTGTGGCATCCTTTCTGGCATTTGTTGCTCTACCCACTGGACAGTTCCATGAACATTCATATATGGCCTGAGGAGATAGGTCAGCCAGTAAAGTGTCATTCAAGCATGGGGACCCGAGTCAGTTCTTTAGAACTTATGATAAAAGCCAAGTGCAGGGCTGGTAAGATGGCTCAGCAGGTAAAGCACTTGCTGGCAAGCCTAATGACCTTAATTCAGGCCCAAGAACCCATAGGAAGGAATAAACTGACTCCTGCAAGCTATCCTCTGACTTCTATATGTGCACTATGGTGTATACACACACATACACACACTTACAAAGAAACACACACAGGCACAGACAGACATACATACACAGAGACACAGACAGACACAGATACACACACAGAGACAGAAACAGATACATATACACACAGACACACACACACACACACAGATACACACCACACAGACACATACACACAGAGACACAGACACACACACACACAAATACATACACATAGACAAATACACACACAGGCACATAGAGATACACACAAATGCAGACACACACAGAGACCCCCACACACAGAGACACAAACACCCCCACCCCCACTCCACACATGTGTACCTAGATGCACACATATCACCGCTTGCACAATTGGATGTATATTGGACTCACATTTATAGGACCTATTCTAGACGTTTCTGTTTCTTGACAGCTCCTTTTAGAATCACTAGTAAGGATATAGGATCAGAAGCTTGTGGTGCTTTAAAGTGAGAGAACTGGAGAGTCTTCGTCCTGGTGGGGTTTGAGAAGTCGGGGAAGTACCCCCTCGAGTCACTGTGGATCCAGCGTCACCACATCTCTTACAACAGCTCAGGGTGATATTTTTTTCCCATGTAGGGTCTTAAGTCAGGCATTTCCGATAATACAGAATTGTTTGCCAAAGGCAAAAATAAGCAGACCTACCTTTGAGCAAGAGGCTTAGTTGAAGAGAAGCAGAAGAAAATGGACACGGGGCAGATGCTGACAGATTTTGGAGGGACCTCAGGTTTCACTGTCAGGACCAAGCTCAGCCCCATGGCCTGTTGCTCCTTCTATTCAAAGGGGCTTTGCACAGCCCTCCTGGCTGCCGTCCTTCCATCTGGTCCTGCCAGGGCCCTAGGGCATGGTTTCTTCCTGACAGCTCTGGTAACGACATGCATCAGGGGTACATATATGTAGGCCATCCCTGCCTTGGTGGAAAATCTCTCAGTGTCCGTTATCACCCTGAGGAGCCAACCTCCTGCCTTCATCCGCCTGAAGGCCATCTAATTTTTAGTCCTCCTGGGCACCCACCCGTCTTTTCATCCGTCTATGGCCTGTTACATTGCATATCATAGGTGGCTTGGGATTTCTAGAGTTAGCACACTAGTGACTTTCTAGCTGAAAGGGAGATGGAACCTCTTAGCATCTGCCCCCCTTGCTGGATATCTCTCCTGCTGAAACCTACAGCAGGTGCCAAGCAAATGTCGATCTTGAGAGGATACTAGGACTGGGCATGGTGAGGTATGGCTGTAACCCCAGTATCTGGGGAGGCGGGGAGAGGCAGGAGGATTGTGTAGCCTGCCCTTGTACAGCCTGTATCAAACCTACATTCTGGTTGGTAAGCTTCAGCGCTGTGTGCTGTAGAATCTGTCAGGGAAACCACTAAACTGTTAGGGAAGCCCTCCAGGAGTAAGGAGTAAGGAGTGGTTCAGCTGAATGTTTTTTTTCTTTTCATTTTAAACTAGCTTGGGTATTTAGTGAAAAAAAAAAATTTTTTTTTTCTTCTCTTCATTCTGACTTTGGGAGCCATTAGATATCTTCTCTCCCCAAGCCCAGGGGTGTGTTACCATGGGATCTTTGGTCTGAATTCGCCTGTGTGATTCTTTTCCTTTGGGCTAAGGTTTTGCTCTAGCCCATGCTACCATAGACCTCAGTCTTGTGGTCTGTTGTCACCTTCAGAGTCCTGGAATTACAGTGTGCATTACCACTGGGGACTTGTACACTTTAACCTAGCATATAAATACTTAAATTAAAAGGGAGCAGATAGATACAAACCATCATCAATCATCCCCCTGCTAGCCCCACCCACATACATATCCCCCCCACATACATATCCCCCCCACATACATATCCCCCATACATATCCCCCCCACATACATATCCCCCATACATATCCCCCCCCACATACATATCCCCCATACATATCCCCCCCACATACATATCCCCCCCACATACATATCCCCCCCACATACATATCCCCCCCACATACATATCCCCCCCCACATACATATCCCCCCCCACATACATATCCCCCCCCACAT